GATAATGTTCGTGAGATTGGAATGATTTATATACTCTTTATTACAATATATGATAATATTTTCTATATCAAATGCATCTATCCCTGAATAACAGCATTATTTCACGGTTACACTCCCCTCAATAAGATTGGAAACTGGAAGTCTTAATTTGTAGCATATCAACGTATGTTAATATTTTAATCTTTGTTTTGTTCCTTTATTACAAAAGCTAGGAAATGATATATTTGATGATTTTTTTAATTCGCAAAATATAAATAGGCTTTAACACGCCATCGAGAAGGGAACTATAGTTGCTTATCTTATGCAGGGGGTGTATATAATACAATGTTACAAAGTGTTTTAACCATTCTGAGTGGCATATTTTGATCATCCTGCCATAACGACCTAGTCGGATTGTGAAACTAGATAGTATTTGTCCATTAATGGAATATTGATGACTTCAAAAAATTGTATATTTTACAATTGTCATAAGCCTCAGTGTTTCCCCATATCGTTTTGAAAAAGCCCAAATCATAAAATTCAAAAGCACATTAAAATCGGTGAAATCAATTCATTTATAATAGTTCAGCTGCTCAGTATTATTAGTCAAGTGGACAGCCACAAGAATATTGACTGGTTATCACATCAATGTCAGCCTTTTCTTGTGATCTTGCATTAAGCTGATTTAACATTGCTGCAATCTGCACTTGAATTCTGCACTAAAGGATCGCCCATAATTCACATCCAAGGCCAAGAAAACCGGAATTTCTGTCAAATATTTTGTCATTCCCACAATTTGGCAAGTGAATTACAGACCCCATTATCGTTAAAAGTTCATAATAAACGATGAATTATCATATTTATCAAATTATACACATATTTCTGGGTACGGGTGCCTTGGATATTCTTAATGAGCGCACATTAGTATAAGATTGCTGTAGGTAAAATACCCCAAAACACCCAAATCAATGCAGAATCGCCTAAATATATATTGTAATTAAGTTGCATCTTTGTCGGGCTGATTTATTTATCTTAATGTACATTTACAGAGATATATCTTTCTAATAATCATCATAACAGAAAGTCAACTTTCCGATAGTTTTCATCTTCAAAAGAGAGCTTCATTTGCATTGGGCTCTAACACATGGGATAAACGGGATTTTATAAGAATTTAATAAAATGCTTGCAAATGGTTGAATTCTTATAACCTGCTTGCAGAGTCTAGTAAGAAACTCTTTCAGAAGCGATGTCAAACGAATGCAAAGGGTAGAAATTCTTAAACAAAAGTAAGACAAAAAATAATTGCTGTAGACATTTTGTGTACTATATAGCCGTTCATTCTGAGCTAATTGTGTGCAAATTATTATTAATATCAGACAGTATAAATACGTGATTATCATCTAAAAAAGTTTTGTGGCATGAACAAATATCTATATGCTTGGGTGAGGTAATGACACTTAAATAACAGCGCTTCTACAGCAAAGGTCAATAGTTTTTCAGATGTTATATTTCCCTCTCGTTTTTGGCCTACACTAATGATGGGCCGATGATATCATGAAACTGAAAGCAACTTATCGCATTTATACCTTTTAAATCTCTCTACAGTTCAGGATTTGTACACTGTACATGGAAGAACGGGGTGTCTTAATCCATCGATTTATTTTTATTTTAACTTTACATTGGACAGTAAGTCTCGTAATAGTAATTTACTTAACATGGCAGAGGCGTAACCAGGGTCTAGAGCAGGCGAGACTGCCTCACGACTGGTTAAGCAATGAATGTACTATTACTTAAGTCTTACACTTTGCATTCGTTCGACTTAGTTTCTTAAAAGTGAGCGTCATCTTCAGTTTATAACTGAACCCTAAACGCATAGTACTTGAGTTACGTTACTTATGGAGTTTTTTATCAGCGTTTTTTTAATGGACTTCCAATTAAAGACAATCTTTTAAGTGCCTGCCCCTGATATTTGAGTTTGTAGTAGTTTGTTCTTTCTCATCATGTTCAGCTATCACCCTTGCTACCGTATGTGTACGTAGAACATGAACTGGACGTCAGTCGGGTACATATTGTTATACCCGGGCCGAGGTTCATACCAAAAACCACTATGACAAATTAATAGTATACTCATGTTCTGTTTGCTCATCAAATTCATCATCACAATGGCAGAGGTTAAAGGGTTCAGACCTTCAGCCTTATTGCATAAGTGTGGTTTCTTAAAATAGTTACAGTAGGTGTAATAGATTTAATACAGACAAACCACAAGTCGCGTCCATCTGGCCCTTCAGTTAACCTTTCAATTTAATTGAATAGAATTGAAATTCAGTGCTCTTTAAAATTATTAAATTATAATGTCCACACAGGTGGAATTCCCCTTATTGTATAATGAATTGTATAATGGACTTCCCACACGTGCCGGGGACCGGATATTCGGACGCTCAGGACCCCGAGTGACCGATGTGTGGGCGTTTCCGTGTACACACTTCCCTTCCATAGACCATAGCCCCATTGAATTACATATTAGATCGCCCAAGACTCATTGTTTGCGTCAACATATGGTTCATTCACTGGTTTCACTGGTTCTGAAGGAGCAGAAAATAAAAAGTTTGAATGTAATTTGTGGCGTTGAAGAGAAAATCATAGAGAAAGTACAATGTTGGAACGACGGATCAGATATAAGTTTTTCTTGGAATACAAAGAGTGGGAGGGGTTGAATTTCCTTTGATGACAACTTTATCTGTCGAATAATAACTGTGGATAGAAGTTATGAAGTTATAAAAGCATACCAAGGTTTCCCTTACATTCCTGATCAAATGTTATCAAATAAATAAGTTATATAAAATATAGATGGAGACACATCCCGATCCATTTGAATTGAAATGCTCAACATTTGGCTAAAAGCTAAAATACCTTGAAAATCAAACGATACAGTCTGTTACACTGCTTCAAAGACCTGAAATCTAAATAATATTGTGCAATAATGTATAGAAAAATATATTCATATTGCACACGAATGACATTTGTAGATGTTGGGTTGCTTGTTATCGCACTTTGAAAAAGTGCTATATTGTCGTCGTCTTGTGCTGTTGGGCGGGCGGGCGTGCGGGCGTGCGGGCGTGCGGGCGGGCGGAACATAAACCAAATCTTGTCATCAAATTTCCAGGATAACTGCTTACCTGTTCAACTTGAAATTTTTACAGATGCAAGAGCAGACTAGTACCAAGATCTGATTAGGTTAAGGGCATGCTGGGTAAACTACGTGGCGGCCATTTTGAATTTTTCAAATTTTTTTTTTAAAAAACATCTACAAGTTCTCAGAAGTTCAAATCTGACCTTAGATTTCAGATTTGACCTTTCGTTGACCTTCAGTGACCTTGAAAAGGTCAAAAAAGTTGATTTTCTAAATTGATATTTTGGATTTAAATTTAGGTCAGCTTAATCACAAAACACCTACTGAGGTCTGAAAAAGTTAAATTTTCAAGGTCGAAGGTCAAGGTCATTAAACTAGGTCACAAATGATGTTATCCAAGTTTCTCAAAGTTTGAGACTACAAATCAATTCTTGTCATCAAAATTCCAAGAAAACCGCTAACCTGTTCAACTTGAAATTTTTACACAAGCAATAGCAGACTAGTGCCAAGATCTGATTAGGTTTAGGGCATGCTGGGTAAACTACGTGGCGGCCATTTTGAATTTTTCAACAAATCTTGTCATCAAAATTCCAGGAAAACCACTTATCCGTTCAACTTGAAATTTTCACAGATGCAAGAGCAGACTATTGCCAAGATCCGATTAGGTTTTGGGTTTGCTGGCTGAATTACATGGTGGCCATTTTGAATTTTTCAATTTGGCGGCCATTTTGAATTTTTCAACTTGCTCCAAATTGACCAATTTTTTTTTTAAAAAACATCTACAAGTTCTCAGAAGTTCAAATCTGACCTTAGATTTCAGATTTGACCTTTCGTTGACCTTCAGTGACCTTGAAAAGGTCAAAAAAGTTGATTTTCTAAATTGATATTTTGGATTTAAATAACAAAACACCTACTGAGGTGTGAAAAAGTGAAATTTTCAAGGTAGAAGGTCATCAAATTAGGTCACAAACAATGTTATCTAAATTTTCCCAAAGTTCAAGACTACAAATAAATTCTTGTCATTAAAATTGCAGGAAAACCGCTAACCTTGTCAACTTGAAATGTTTACAGATGCAAGAGCAGACTAGTGCCAAGGTCTGATTAGGTTTTGGCCATGCTGGGTAAATTGCATGGTGGCCAATTTGCTCTTCAAAGTGCGATATTTATCACTGTGTGTCTTGTTCATAAAGTCTGTAACCTCTTATATTCTGATGCTTCTCTACCATGTTAATTCTCAAAAAATAACATGGCGGACAAACCTCAAATTAGGGCAAAGGTTTATTGCACTAAACACTCAATAATCTGAAATATACAAATTTCATTCGTGTGCAATATAAATATATTTTTCTATATATTATGGCACAATGGTCTATAGATTTCTTATTTTTCAGGTTCTACTGCTTGCCTTTGAAGCATTGTAACAGACTGTAGTAAAGCCTGGAATATAGTCTTGCTTCAACACCCTGGACTATCTACTCTAACAACTGTTGTTCAGGGACGGATATGGGAACCAACAACGGGGGGGGGGGGCAAATTTCAGGTCAGAGAAAAAAACGTCCGCGCTTGCGCGACCAAATTTTGAAATTTTGAGGCCCATTTTCTTCAAAATTTGACCTGAAATTTACAAATAAGGTCTTAAAGGCCCAGTTTTGACCAAAAGGCCCACTTTTTGGGGCCTTAAGGCCCCCAGCCCCCCCCCCCCTAATCCGCCAGTGGTTGTTGGTGTAGATAACCCGGGGTCTTGAGGCAAGACTACCTGAAATGTTTTGACTTTAGAAAATAGGCATAGCATGGCATGTTATCAGCCAAAATATTGTAAGTAAAATTGAATATTAGAAAGCTACTGTCAACTGTCTCTTGTCTTTTTGTTGCTCCTTTAAATGTAGTGCCACGCATATCATATATTTTTATCTCAATTCATTTTCTCGTGTCAATAGATCTGTTAACTTCTTTTGTTAGCTAGTGTTGTATATATATCGCATGTTTACTCAACTTTGCTTACATTAAACGATAGATGTTATATGGGTTCAGGTAGGACTTATCATTTTACTTATTGTCAAATGCATATGCAACAGTTTTTACCCCATCAAATGAACTACTGGCTGTAAATATACTGCTTTGGTAGAACATTTGGAGGTTGGGGGCCCCGGGTGGGGCTAAATATTAATCATCCTTCTACAGCGTACAGTACATTTGGTGGGGAGGGTCTCAAAACGTAGCTATTTAAATTTTAAAATGCCATAAGCTAATATTAACATTGAATTTTAAGCCATTTCTGACGCTTGTGTTAAAATGTGGTCTGTTCATATGTAATTTGTTTAAAGTTTTATGTTTAAAGAGGAATGTCTATCAGGTGTTGAACGGTACTCATAGGATAATCATTTTATCTACCCTGTTCAGTGCATTATACATGTACACGTATATACTTTTGTTACACAGACTAACTGTGTTCTTTATTGATAATCATAGCACATTGCACAAAGAATAAGAAATGTGTGATTGTGATGTATTGAATTTTATTATATTATTGTAGTGTATGAGTATAATATAATGACATTTACTATTTTTGTGTTTTGAAGTGCAGTACCATTACATTGTATTGTATATAGGTTTATATTGAATTATATCGTATCGCATTCGGATATATTGAACTATATTGTATCATTTTAAAAATATGTCACAACTGTCTGTTTAGGTCTCATTGATACTTCCAACGTAGTGATGGAAACATTTTGTAAATACGTATTTCAAGTCATCTTATTGAGACATTGAAACGTTACAAGGAAAACATATGTTTCAGTGTATAAATTTTAGTGGTCTCAGTCGACCATGCCCTAAGAGTCAGAGCCTTGTACATTAGCTAGATGAAGATCTCTTAAAGAATGGTGTAGCCAATTAATGGTGTTGGACTTCATGCAGAAGTGAAGCTTACATACTACACACTGTACCAGTGATTGTATTCAATTCAAGTTCATGAATATTTTCATTTCAAGCTTTTGCATATGGTGATTTTTGTAAGGTATGCACCCTTATAATAGACTAGATGCGAGTAGAAATGATCTTGATTTACGTCATTAAATATTCAAAATTCTTTTTTGAAAATCTTTTTTGAAAATGTGACTTCTAGTTCGGGTTGATTCCCCATATTACAAAATCACAAAAAGTGAAATATCTTTTCTTGTTTTGGACATATAACATTTTCCTTTATAGGACATACTTAAATTTCCATAACTATTCGATACATACGAGCTATATGAAAATTGAACCACTAAAACAGATGTAATTTAAGTTAAAGGGAACTTTCTACTATACCCGCCATGCTATCTGACCCGAGCGAGCCACCTGGTGGTGAAACTGGTAACTACCTACTCGCATTTGCGTTATTAGAGAGCATTTAGGACAGTAATTTTGGTGTCTATGATTGAGTTTATAATACGGGTTCACGTTTTCAGTTATGTTTTTACCTTAGATGGTCACCAAAATGGGTATCAAAAATGAATATATACTAGGCAAAGTAAAGCGTATATAGCATTGAGGACAGTGATTTTGGTGTCTGTGATTAGTAGCCTATGTGTTGTAAGTGAAGTGATGTTTCTTGCATCTGTGTCTATAGTTACTCATTAGCCGGCTATCTAAGAATAGATAATATTATTAATGTATAACTAATTTACAAGCACATTTGAGTGCAAGAACAAGCACGACGTACTATCCTCTTAACTATCAGTTCATAGTTGCAACAATTGTTCTATTGTTTCATTGAATCTCAGGTTATACGATACAATACTAGAGCAATTGTAACAGAGAAACTAGCATGGATTACCTGGCGTTAAACAATGGTGCCAAAATGCCTCAGTTGGGTTTAGGAACATGGAAGGTGCGTATACATGGTATATTCGTGTATCTTAAATGCTAATATGACAATACGTTATGACAATTTTAAAACTTAGATTGCCATTCCAAAATTCACAAAAACAGGTTTTGTACATTGACAATGAAACAAATCTATGAAATTAATTATGCTCAGTAGGATACCATTTGTCAGCAGTAAAAGCTGTTGATCTGTATAAATGCAGTCCAAATCTATCTTATTCATGCCATCCACGTGTTTTCTTTCAAACAATGAATCGTGAAAATATCCTTTTGACTTCCACAAATATTGAAACTTTAAACTCATCCATTTTTAATTTTCATCATATATTATATCCACCCACGTTTGCTGATAATGTATTTTCAACTGATCCACTGGGCTGGATGGACATCGAGTATAAAATCGCCTTAGATAAATTAATGTTCTTCCTTATGTTGATAACACTACCGGTAAAAAATATTTATAAGCAGGTCTTTCTTTATCGAGCTACGGAATTCCAATATAATGGTCACGGTGGTGCTGCGTCACCACTTAATACAATATGGAATGTTTTAAGCAGATTTAATCTTTTAGATGCTGCAACTAATATGATAAACACAGGTGTCTACCCATCAAAGGGAATATGGCGTAAATTAGTTTTAGGTAGGCTACGTCAAAGCCAAAATGCAACGTTTATGATTAAATGTGCTATAAAAAGTGCAACACATTTGTATGTAAGTGTAAAATGCTTTGCTCAGCCACTTAAATGGTGGACACTCAGTTTCAAATACCCTAGAGATTTAAAATATTGTAAATTAATGGTCAATTTGCTTATGAACCAGACACTCAATGGAAATAAAAAATGGGGTGACAGAAAATGTAATATATGTGATACTGGCGAAATAGAAACATTGGATCACTTTTTACGTTTCTGCAATTCCATAGATGCGGAAAGAGTTGCACTTCTCAATTTATTTAGAATTGGTAATGATGACATTATATTTCAAACTTTCAAATCAGACAATGATGAAGCAATGATTTTAAAAGCCAAAGCTGTATTTCTAATGTATGCAAAGCGTAACATGCTTATGCAAATGTGATTTTATTGTTAATGCAAAACAAAAATTGTAAATGTACTCACAATATATACTTGTGGTAATAAAGGATACAATACAATACAACAATATAGGTGCGGATCCTGGAACCAACAAGTGAGGGGGGCATATTTGAAGTATGAATAAACATTTTGGGCCCCTAAAACCAAAAGGTGGGCCCAAATTTTGAAATTTCATAGTTAATTTTTGATAATTTGGCCTAAATTAAAAAATAAGGCCTTAAAAGGCTAATTTATGCCAAAAAGGCATAGATTTGGGCTCAATTTTTTTCTGGGCCCAGCCAAGGGGAGGGGCCCCTAGTGTACCCCAGATCCGCCAGTGCTTTAAGTACTATAGGATACAGAATATGCGATCGAGCGTCTCATTTTTGGCCCATCCTGTATATCAACCACATCATCATGCCATGTAAGGCTGCACAAATGAAGCTAGAATACAATGGCCAGATTCATCCGTAGAAAAAGATCAAAAACAGCTCTTCTAAAAGTTTTCCAATATAAGATCCTATTTTGATTGGAAATATTGCGTCCAAAACATTTAATTATGGTTACATGTGAAACGTAAATGATTGTAATATGATTTTTATGAAATAAACATTCGTTCATAGTCCGCGAAGGGAGCGGTTACAGAAGCAGTAAAGACAGCAATAGATATCGGTTACAGAAATATAGACTGTGCATTTGCTTATGGAAACGAAGATGAAGTCGGAGAAGCTCTTAAAGCCAAACTTGATGACGGAACGGTGAAACGAGAGGACCTCTTTGTAGGAACTAAGGTAATTTATGCAATTGGATTTTGTGTGTTGCCAAATTTTCTCTTTGATATTGAAATGCACAAATAGAGCAGGAACTGAACTATTAAAATTAAATGACTAGCAAAGGTTACGAATAACTTGACTCCTCGTATAAAATCACTTCTTCAGAAATGATAGCTAATTAGTCTTCATCAAGTCTGCACGATGTCCAAATATCGATAGATACCAATCCAATAAATCACAAATACCTCGTCAGTCATCTTGATGTCATTCTTACAGTTCCAGGACTTATTGCTAACTTTAAAAGCTGTTCGTATGCAATGTATAGCATCATTAATTACTATAATCTAGCCAACATACTCTTGTTTTTTTGTCCGACAAAAGAGATCTGTATTTACATGTATTTGAAAGATTTATAAAATAGATAAATACCAGGGGGACATAATTATGAGAAACAACATACGTCATTAGTCATGCGTTTATTTTTAGCTATGGAATGTGTTCCACAGAAAAGATCTTGTCATGCCAATTTTGAAAAAACAGTTGGAGAGTCTACGTTTGGATTATGTAGACCTTTACCTCATCCATTGGCCAATGGCGTACATTGTAAGTAGAACCTTCAGGCCCGTAGCCAGGATTTGCCAAGGGGGGGGGGTTCATTTTTCAAAAATTTCCAGGGGGGTTCACATTTGACAATTTTGGCCAAAATATGGCTAAAATCACTTGAGAAGTGCTCAAAATGGTGAAAAACTGCATGATTTTGAAAGAATTTTTGGCCAGGGGGGGGGGGGTCGCCCGAACCCTGCGAACCCCCCCCCTGGCTACGGGCCTGACCTTTTTAGCAATTTTTGAGAGAGGACATAAAACGACCCTTGCCACTGACTGATTTACAAGTTTGTATTTGCAAGATGTTATGTTGTAATTTTGTGTTGATGCGCCTAAATTGCATGCCAAGATCAATAATTTAGATCGCATTTCTATAGTTAAATCAGAATATCAGTAAATCACTGATATGGCTCGTAACACCACACCCTCTTGTAAAAACAGTTCGTCCCATGCGCCAGATATAAAATTGCTAGTAGTAGTTTATTCAATTCCACTAGATAGACGGCTACTGCCATCTTTATGTCGAATTACAATTTATAAAACATGAATATCATTGTTTTAGGAAGAAAGAGAATCATTCCCAAAGGATGAAAATGGAAAGTTTATTTACTCCGACGTCCATTTTTTGGAAACCTGGAAGGTCTGTTATAACATTTTAGATATTTAAATGTGTGTGCAGGTATCTTGCTCGATAATTCAATCGATTAATTTTTCATTTTACAATAAAACTTTATGATTTAAATTTTTACGATTATAACTCATATCTAGAAATGAAGACCATTTTCTTATAATAGGCAATGGAAGAATGCGTAGACTCTGGATTATGTAGGGCTATTGGGCTATCCAACTTCAACCACAATCAAATTCAAGATGTATACGATAATGCCAGGATAAAACCAGCTAATCTACAGGTATGTACTGCAGCCCTTGTCTTAAATAGGCGAAAGGATTGAGGATCAGGATTTATTAAAGTGACAGTTAAAGAATATAAAATGTATAATGCATTCTTGTCAAAAAGCTTGACAACGTTTCCTTATTTACAACCTGCTAATAATTTTATTACCTGAAAAACTAATTTAGAAACTACTGAACTAAGGCTGATCAAAATTGAATAAACTGTCACGTTTTGATAAATAGCAATGACGACATAATATGGAATGATGATAACAAAAATAAATCGTAAAATATATGTGAACAATACTCTTTTATTCATCTCTACTTTTTGTTACCCTTGTAATGCAATTGTCTTCTGTAATATTTTAGTGAAAATTTAAAACATATCGGTAACCTTGGTAGACAACAACAACAACAACAACAAAGGCAAAAACAATGTTATGTAAAGTCAGCCTGATCTCATTGAATAAAAAATGAAAATAGAACATAACACAACAAACTTGAACTTTCAGATTGAGGTCCATCCATACTTATCTCAGGAGCGTATGTTAGCATTTTGTCGTGAGAGGAACATAACAGTGACTGCTTATAGTCCCCTGGGGTCTGGTGACAGACCATGGTAAGGCCATTTATATGTATAAACCCTTGGGGTCGGAGCCGAGTACATTGACGTGTCGCAAAAAGGTGGCGCATTTGTTTTTTAAGGGTATCGCGTGAATGTAACTTTGATTCCCCGGATTATATGATAATATTCTAATTAAAGTTATATATCATTTTAAAGCTGTTTCGATGAAGATTTTAGATTCGCCTATTTTCAAGCACAGCAACACGTATATTTATTTCACCTAAAATATCAATTGATTCGTGTTTTATGATGCTCCTAGCCCATATATGATATCAGAGTTATTCGTCTAAAATGTTTTGAGATATAGAGGTAAATGTGGAGGACGAAAGGATTTTCATGTGTGTACATTTTTCTCAAAAACGTCACATTCTATCATGTTAAAAGCGAGGATCCTCTGGATGCCACAAAATGTGTAACAATGCGTGCGCGAGCTTTTTGCGACGCGACATCAACCTGTTAGAAGAAAGAGTACGAGATCGAAGATCATATATTTGAAGCCATAGTATCTGAATCTGAATAATTTGACCCATATTGATATGCAGCTTGTACCATTGATAAAGACAAAACCCTTTTTCTGTAATTACGAAACCTTTAAGCAATCACCCATATAGAAAGTGACTCTTATACAGAAAAATGCCAAAGTAATAAAATCCAGTTTGAACAATTAATTAGTTGTGATTGCAGGGTTAAAGCCGAGGATCCCAATTTGTTTGAAGACGCCCAGTTAAAGGATATTAGTGCAAAATATGGCAAATCTGTTGCTCAGGTACGTCTACATTCTACAACCCATATACAGGGTGGTCCAAAAGAATAGTCCAACTTTTATTTTTTCTTGGAATGAAAGGTGGTGAATTTGTTGTGGTCGAATCATTATTGTAATTCTTTAAATAGAATAGAAAGATTTGTATGATACATATTCGTTTTTATACCTTCAAAGGTTATACTGAAATGGAATATTCAAAGAGGAGTAGGTGTCATCCCTAAAAGTGTAACTCCATCAAGAATAAAGGAAAATCTAGAGGTACCGTAGCGACATCTTTCTTACTTTCTATTGCCTATTGCTATTGATCTAAGGTACTATCCTTATCCAATTTACATACGTTGATAGTTTCATATATACACACAGGTTTATCGTTGTACGGACGTATTTGTAAAAGTTTTAATTGCTGTTTATCTGGTCAGTAGATGTCATCCAATTTTACTTCATTTGGAAAGTATTTTATCATGATGTTTTATTCAATTCATGTTCATTTTAGTAGATATTCTATATTTCCTAATAAACCAAATGACGATTTCAGAGACATCTTTTATAATCCATAAATATGAATGGCATCTTTGTTTCAAAAGATGAAAATATTCCATTGACCAATTTAGCAGGTTATATATAGCCCTTTCATTTTCGTATTACTTTTTAGGTATTCGACTTCAAGATCTCTGATGCAGATATGGCTACAATATCTAGCTTCAACAAAGATTTCAGAGGATGTCTCATCGACTGGTAAGTGATAGGGGTACTAATCGAGGGACGTCGTCAGGGTTAATGCAACATGCGCGCGCATGCAACATGCGCAGCTGATATGCAACAAACATAAAAAGCAGGATAAAAAGTCGTGCTTTTCAAATTTAGAAAATGTGAATTTAAATGTGCATGATTCGCGTATCGATCGTGACAGCTAAAAGCATAGACCAAGGGAAAAGTAGCCGTAAGCTCAATATAGAAGATCCTCTATAGTGAGCTTAATAATACTTTCATCTAATAACCCAGATGCGAGTAGAAATAATCTTGATTTACGTCATTAAAAATTAAAAATTCAGTCAAAGTAATATCATATTTGAAATCTACATGTAAAATTACATCTAGAAATGTGGTTTTAAAAAGTGTTTATCAACTTTGAAAAATTGAAAAAATGTGACTTCTAGCTCGGGGAGATTCCCCATAGACCCCATGCTATAAAATCACAAAAAGTGAAATATCTTTTCTTTTAGTGGACAGATAATATTTTGCTTTACTGGACATATTTTCATTAGTATAAGTATCAGAGACATAAGGGTTATATGAAAATTGAGCCACTTTAATTGATAATATTCAAGTTTAAGGGAACTTTGTTATATACCTGCCTTGTTAATTGACCCGAATCAGCCACATGGTGGTGAAACTGGTAACTACCTACTCGCATTTGGGTAATTGGCATATGGCTTTAAGCTTGTTTCGTGATGCAATTGATATTATATCTTGTGATATCAGGCTTCAGAAACTCCTGTTGTGTAAACTGAGACGTTTCCTCTCCCCTTCTAGTCTATTATTACTTTTTAAAATAATTCGTATTTACAATACACTAATTTTTTCTACACAGGTGTGAAAACCCCTCACACTGGAGAAGGTGTGTAGTGCGGAGGGGGCACAAAGGCTTGTAACTAGATTATATATAATAGTACAAGTGTCTGTACAGATTCAGATTTATCCCTCTTCGGAGTCCCTTTTAATCTAATGCCTGAATGCTATACTGTATATTTGTCACATCTTTCTGTTTTCAACAAGAAATATGCTCTGATTTATTGGTTTTGTGATATCATAATTTAGGAGGGGTACAATATTCTATTATTAGTGTAATGGTTACCATGTACCTGTACATTGCTATTTATTGCCCTATTTTCGAAACAATGCATAGTATTACATAACATTCTAGTATTGTCACTGCCATTAGTTGTAACTTGTAAGCTTGTCTCAAGTATATCACTTAAATTGGTATTATGACCCCCAATATTAGCATGAGATGAAAAATCTCCATTTAGACCCCTCTGTCCCATTCTGATTCTCATTGCATCTATCTGTTTCACCTGAAACATCATCTCAGGGCTGTGAAGAAATGAGATGTCATGGTTTATCATAGACATGATGCCTCTGTCCCTATTGATTGTTGGAGCTAGTTGAAGGATATCTGATATCTCTTTACTTTATATTTTGAGGTCAATACCTTTGTCTCTTTGTGTTTTTCTAATTTCAATGTCTATACAAAAATAATCCTACCAAAGTACCTGCATTATTTGGGTGTGAAATCTAATGCTCTTTATTGTCACACCCATTAGGCTTTGTCTACATAACCATACCGCAGCAGGTTATGCTTTCCCATAATTCCCATCGTCAATTAATCTCTTTGATTAATTTAATTGGTAGTCCTGGTTTCTTACCCTGGAAGAAACATTAATTTTTGCAGCTTGTTATATCCCACAAAGAGGGTATACATGCCGTTGAGCGTTGACCCGAAAATGATTCATACGTTTCGTTGTGTATAACGTCGGGATTATTTCCTAAAATCTATACTAAATATGTCAGGCTAATAAGATCCGCTGTCGGATGTCATCTTATTGTTACAATATCAAATTGCCCTCTATAGATGTGATAAGTATCAGGATGCAACGTGTGTTCAACTTCTGGTACTAATTACGTCTCTAGACGTATCGAAATCGTTGTGTCACCTTGTAGATACCATTCAGCATACTAACTCGTCCCTTGAGCTTTATTTTGCTCAACAATCCGAAATTGCGTCTATAGGAAATACTTACCGACACTTGAACATCTTGATTTACAAGGTTTCAGTTGCTCCTATATGAAAGTCGAAGATGACACTTGAATACGTCAAGCATCAACCAGTTCCAGACTTCTCTTAGTTTATTGACCGCCAGATAAATTAAACATACACGGGAAATTTATTTTATATTTCATCAGGGACAAAATTAAACTTACAGTTGAAAAGGGATGTTACATCACAGATCTAAGGATTCATTAATGATCAATGCTCATCTCTTTGTATTCCATTTTATATTCAAAAGCATCGTTATAAACCATGTTATCTCGATTTCTCTCAACCATGAGATGCTATGGTATTGTGGTCTGATAATTCAAACCACAATTGATGAATCGCGAGATTTTAGGTTTTCCGAAAGCTTTCATTTTAGCTTACATTTCATCTAATACTGTGCTAGCATAGCCCCGGGAACATGAATAAAAATAAAGTCTGAGTCCCCCAAGAAAAAATACAATTTTAGCATCTCCAATTCTTCACTTGGATTAGGCCGGAAATAGATTTAATGAAAAGTCGTTATTGACATTTAAATTCAAAAATTCGTCTTTGAAGTCGTAATTTTCCCACCAATTTGCAAGAAAACTTGAGAAAACCTGGAGTTAGTGTAATTGGTCAATTAATATTTCAAGCTATAAAACTAGCATCTTTTCTAATACATCACTAAGTAAATAAAGCCGTATTAGTCCAAATTATCAGTTCTTTTAATACACTGGACGAAAAGACACACAACTACTATTGAAAGCCAACCACTTCATGGTCATGAATCAGGTTGGACAAGTCGTTCAATGGAAACCAAAACGTGCACTTGTACTAAATGTCAAGATGTGATTTTTTCTTCAGAAAATGACAAGCTTGTACTTAAGTAGACAATCTTGGAGATCACTTGAAAGCCAAGTTACACAGTCATAGTGAAGGTCAAGAATAATCAATTGCACAATTAGAAACTACTGTGTTACCATAGGTGAATGACATCAGTTCTGCGTATTGATTCTTATGCTATTGATTTGTAATTAAATAATAAGGTTCTTTTTTTTTATTCCAGGGTAAAGGACCATCCACTTTGGCCATTCAAGAACTGTGACTTTTAGTGCAAGCAGAGTTCACCATACTTACAACACTATCTGTCTGATATAATTCTTATAACGCCGATGACGCTCCAATGACCTTTGCATGCATCAATCAAGCCACATATTGATTTGATAATACAACCTCTAATAAGTAGGCAGGATATAAATTCAATAATTAGTAGGCGAATCAAATGTAGGCTAAAATATGAATATTAAAAAATACGTTTCTGTTGACTGGGTAGTTTAATTAGGTTAAGTTACACGTTTTAGAAAAACTTGGACGTAAACGTGTAGAATTATGGTCCTCTATGGATTAGTTCTCCCAGGTGTAGTTGGCCGATTGAGTATAAAGGTATACGAAAAATAATGTTTCTGGAAAAGTGAATTTACAGTTATCCCGGGGGTCGAAATATTACACGCTCGCGTTCAGGTTCTCTTAAAAACTTAACTTCTCTATTGTTAGGCAAACTTGTACATAAACCCCTAGAATTATGGTCCTCTATGGATTAGTTCTCACATTTGTAGTGTTTAGTTGACCGATTGAGTATAAAGGTATAAAAAAATAATTGTTATTAGGACCCTGGGAAAGTAAATTGAGAACGGGGCAGTAATCCCCGGGGGTAGAAATATTATACCCTCACATCGGGGTTATCTTAAAACGTGTAACCCAACCTCCCTTATATTCAATAAATGTTTAAAAAGTTCAAACTGGTGGTTTTCTTGTTAGCTCACATGGTGAGCTTTTGCAATCACTCATTTGTTCGTCTGTCTGTCCGTGCGTGCGTCCGTCCGCCCGTCCGGCAACAATAACTACGAACTACAATGCTAGCTAACTACTGACTGGAGGTAAAGGGCACGATTCTAGCTTACCTCTATTTTGTTTTGAATGTATTAAGTACACGTTATGACAACTGACTAATGACGTTATTCCGTTGAGTTTTTTTTTGTAAACAGGATAGACGAAAGTTAGACACAATGTGTTAAAACGAGAACTCTATAATTGAAGGAAGTCTATTGTAGTAGCAGGCTTGTACCAAAGCTTATTCCAAGGGACAACTTATAAAATACAATAAAATATAATAAAAAGTGCTAATTACGAATGATGTTATCTTTATTAATCCTGAAGAGTCTTGTTTATGTGACATTTAATACTGCTTGTTTCAGGAATTGTTTTTTGTAAAAGTACTGTATTTGAATTTATATTTTTACAAATAGTGATAATTAAATAAGACCAGCTATAAATTATCGATTGCTTGAGCCGACCCCTCTTTGCCAACGTCTGCTGTTTCCTAATGCACATGTAGAACTACAACTAGATGTATGCCGCAATCTAATGTAATCGTCGATCGAGAGTTGGTCAAGAAGGAATCCCATGACAATCAATTAATCAGTCCAAACAGCGGCATAATTACATTATTGTACGCCATTAACGATCAGTGTACTATCGTGGATTTCTCCATTCATGTGCTTGGTTTCTCCATTGACATATTTGCTGACACCGTTTTTATACTTCCTCACGCCATTTGTCTCCTTTCCCAGTTGCTCTTTGATGATTCCAGTGTTATTTCTAGTGTCGGTTGCAACTATGGTTGTTTCCATAGCAACTGATAGCTCTTCGTTAATGGCCGACATTTCACGTGCGAACACTGGACTACTTTTAGCACTGGTCCTTCTCGAATCAAACGGAGTAGACCTTTGACCAAATTGTAAAGCAAGTTCTAAATATATAGGGCGTTTTGATTCTCGCGAGAAAAGAGTTTTTAAATCTCTCCTAAATTTCTCACCAACTAGACAATAGAGATAGAAATTAACGGCACAATTGGTGAACCATAACTTGTTGGAGATGTGGTAGATCAAGGTGTACAAAGCATATAACTTTGCGGAGGAATGATAGTCTAGGGTTACGTAAAGGGTGTATCGAATATATTGAGGTAAGGTCAGTAGAATGAACGTGAAAGTCACCAATAAAAGCATCAATGTCAACTGTCTCTGTCTGGAATGAATGTCCCCACGTGACAGGCCCCATGTTTCTTTGCTCGATTGCCTTATAAGGCGTGAGTCATTTGATGCGTTCGACTGTGACCTACTATGACCTTGACCTACTCGTAGGTTCAGAATCTTTTTGCTTTGGTCACGAATAGAGCGAATGATAAGAGTATTGAAGCACATTAACGCAACTACTGGAAAGACCGAGCCAAATATGATGTATATCCAGCTATAGGCAGCAGTAAAGTCATCCTGTGTATTGAAAGTTGCGCAGATGTCCCATTCCACCGAGCCACTCATCCATGGAATGGGGATGTTATAAATAGACAGAATGATTATCCCAATGACAAGAATCCTACGAGTTCTTTTCAATGAGCACCAGGTGACGCTGTGAATCGGGTACTTCACGGCGATGTAACGGTCAATGGTCATCGCGATAATTACGCTGACGCCGTATTCGGTGGTGACCTGAGAAATATAGGAGAGAATCTTGCAGTTGATATCGTTATGGTACTCTGTGATTGGTAACTGGACGAAATTCGTGACGATCCAATGATAAAGCAGAATGAAGAGAGACACGGTATCGGTAACTGAAAGAACCGCCATATAGATGCACGTCGATTTCTGCCGACTTTGCTTCCGGGTCATCACCAAAAACGCAAGAAGATTGCCAACAAGTCCAAATGGAAGAATAACCATCGGCCAATAGCGATGTATCATAGCGCCGATTTTGTATTCGTTATAATTTTTAGCAAGATGAAATATTTCACTCAAGGGAACATTTCTTACCGGATCATCAGTAAATGAAGTATTCGCAAGTTGATCCATTGTCATAGTAACTAAGTCTTTCGTGACACTGTTGCACATTATTCCTGCCAGGTCTTCAACACATTAAAATATATCGATACATCGTCTCTCATCAACGCCACTAGGGACCTGAATCTATCTGCGCCGAATTGAATTAAGTCCTCGTTTATATTTTACCGTTGATAAATTAATCCCTATCTTTGTTTGGACCTTCCTAATTGTAACTTCTCAAACGGCGGGCATTCTGGTATTCTAACTTCAAGTTGTGTTATTTTGTAAGCATTGAGGTCTCCTGAAACAGAATTGATTGGCGTTAATAAATGCTTAAATATTCATTAAGTCCTAGTACACCACCATGTATTCACTCATTGGGCTATATATTATTCAACGTATCCGACGTCTTTCTCAAAACTAAAAATATATAGGTAAAGAAAACCTTTCATTCACTTTTCAGTTGCAGATTTGAAAATGTAAACATCTAAAAATACTTAAAATGTCTATCAATGTTGAGTTATTACTTCATTGTTTTGGAGTGCATATCTGTCACGAAATTAAGAGTGCCACCCTTAGATGAGGAAATGTTAGCATTATTATGGCTTCTGTTATCGAAACATCATTTTCTTTAGATAAAAACAGAGGAAGCCAACGTGACATTTTACAATACCGTAGAATTATCGATAATTTACGATAAAAATACTTAGAACGGGAAACCGGTCATCGTTTTCAGAAATCATCAATACGTTAAACACAAAGTCGTATTCAAAACGCAGTCATTTTACAAAATCTGAAGAAGGAAGTCCTTAGTTTATTTTAGTTTAGATGGCTCGATGGAATGACGTCAGTATTTATAGACATTGATATGTCTATCACCCCTTCTGTGTTTATGTCACCACTTACTATGCTTTAATGATGCTTTGTAGATACTATTGTAAACCGTAAAAAGACTTATTGATTAGATGTGCAAGACTTTTAAGATGAAACAATTCTGAATTATAAGCAACACAATACACTATAACAGACACACAAATCCATATAAGTTCCATATAGATTATATATATTAAATACACAAAATTAATATGAAATACAACAGCAATAACCCAGATGCGAGTAGAAATAACCTTGATTTACGTCATTAAAAATTAAAAATTCAGTCAAAGTAATATCATATTTGAAATCTACATGTAAAATTACATCTAGAAATGTGGTTTTAAAAAGTGTTTATCAACTTTGAAAAATTAATTTTCTTTGAAAATGTGACTTCTAGCTCGGGGAGATTCCCCATAGACCCCATGCTATAAAATCATAAAAAATGAAATATCTTTTCTTTTAGTGGACAGATAACATTTTGCTTTACTGGACATATTTTCATTAGGCCTAGTATAAGTATCAGGCACATAAGGATTATATGAAAATTGAGCCACTTAAATTGATAATATTCAAGTTTAAGGGAACTTTCTTATATACCTGCCATGTTAATTGACCCGAATCAGCCACCTGGTGGTGAAACTGGTAACTACCTACACGCATTTGGGTAATTGGATTCATTAAACACATTACTTAAAAATGGGGACTAGCCAAAGTCTCATTGATAATACATTAGTCTATCAAGTAACGATGTGGGTCTAGGAAAATGCGTTGCAGGAACGATTCTCCAGATATAGAACTTTCTTTATCAAATCATTTCATAAATACATATTCTAGCTACGTGCAAAACCTCAATAATGGAGGATGAATCACGATTAAGTTAATCAAGACCACCTTAACTGATTTTTTTCAATTTGTAAACCGACTCCTTTCCTCTGTTCCAATGTCCTTAAGTACACATTGATTACGTTTACAACTCCAAATCTGTAATCCACCGAACAAGATTTGCGATGAACAAATAAAAACCAAAGAAGCCATCCGTCAATCCGAGAGAATCGACTAGGATCATATTTAACTAGACAGGTGAAATCAAACAATGTCATGAAAGGATAACTTTCTATATTGCTATATGAATAGATGGCACGGATTTATGGTTTGGCTAGAATGTAAGTTCCAGTACGATGTATATTTAATCACCCTATAAAGACAGATCACATAAAATTACAAACACATGATGCGAGACTCGACAATAACCATGAAACTAGAGACATTTCGTGACCCATGTTGCAAATCATTTTTACTGTTTAATGAAGGGTGATGAACGACAGTCACAGTTAGTTCTATAAGTATGAGAATAACATAACCTTTTATATTTCAAGAAAACTCGTTTGAAAGTGATGGTCGTGATTTAAAATACGATGTAAAGATAAAACCACAATGGAACTTTCTGGATTTCTTTGAAAAACTAAGAGATCTACATCACACATCGAAGTTTCCAGAAAAAATATGTATGAAAAGCAAGGCTCACGGGTCCGATTTCCATTATTTTTTCGTATATGACATACAATACATATTTGAAACACAAATATTATTCGAACTTATGATCGGACAGAAGTATGATTATACTTTGAGGTAATAAAGTAACATCATGCTTTTCCGATCATAAGTTTTTATACATTTTGTGTCTCGAATATTAATTGTAAAACATATATGAGACAAATGTCAATACAACCAGGTGGAATTTGACCTGTAAGCCTTATTATTTAATTTATATTTTTTCTGTTTTGAAAACTTTGATATATGATGTATTTTGCTTAGTTTTTCAAATGTAATTGTGTATATTATTTTGGAAAACTTAGAAATATACGACACGTCATATATCGAAGTTTTCAAAACAATAAAATATAATTGCGGTTTTGTCTTTACATCGTATTTTCAATCACGGTCATCACTTTTCAAACGAGTTTCCCAGAAATATCAAAAGGTTTTGATATTCTTATACTATTAAAACTAAGCCGAACTGTCATTCACCCTTTATTAAGCAGCAAAAAAATAATTTGCTATATGGGTGATAAAATGTTGCTAGTTTCCTGCTTATTGTCGAGTCTCGCATCATGCGATTGTAATGTTATGCAGTCTGTCTGCATAGGGTGTTGGGCAAACAACTAATTAAGATGGACTACCCACCGTAAAAAGATGAATTTTATACCAAACATTTCTTTAACAGATAGAAAAGTCGAATTTCGAATTTCAATTCTAATTGTAGAAAAATCCCTAACTATCTCCTTTGTTTATTAACAATTTGAATTTGACCTATTTGACATCTTCGATAAGTGAAAATATTCCATTTAGGGGCTAATCATGATTTGGAAATGAGAATGGATGATGTTAGTTTTTGAATGGCAAAGGCATTACTGGCTTCACTGTTATCTTGCTTAAGTACAATTGCTTTTAGTTAGAACAGATCGAATTTGTCAATGCATAACTTTTATCGTCTACATTCTAAAGTAACTATTATTTGCGGGGTTGTAAGTTAGGTTTGAGGTTTCGTCATCGATTACCTTTTGATGAAGTATTTCATCTTAGAACGATCTGACTGAATATAAAAGGTTAGTATTGCACTGTATGATATTTCAAAATATATAACCTCTAACTGTTTCATTGTACGGTCAGAGTTCTACCTGCCAAATTCTCGTTTTTGCGTCAGTTTTTTCAATCTTCGTTATAAGTCTCACGATGCCTCTAACATTCTTAATTGTCATCTCTGAATTGCAGTGTTGTAAGTACTAAACGTAAGCGTCTCTCGGGTAGTACATTAAAGAACTTGCTCATGTTCTCATATTTACATCCTAGTCCAAGGGTATTTCACTTCTTATTGCTTTATCAAGTATACGTATTATCCAGTCCCTGAAAAATCACACCCCTAGCCAGCTATTGGCCATGGTGTTTCTTGGTGTTAACCCTTTCCCGACGTGAATATAAGAGGAAAATGTTGGCCCTGGTGACGGATAAGTAAGAGCGGTTTTTAGGGGAAACTGCGAATTACCTACGCCCCATGACCTATACCTTGGATTTTATCACTGAAATACAATTTTTAGTAAGGATTATCACATTAGAACAACTTGTCAAAATTTGGTGTAAAAATACTGAATGGAACTGGAGATATTGTCATTTCATTGAGGTATATAAATAAAAATAATGGTGCCAAAAGGAGCCTATCGTCCTGAAAGGTATTACATAATAGGGCTCCATATGGAGCCTATCGTCGTGAAAGGGAAGATAATGCCGTATATCAGGAACTAATGCAAAATTGACTCGTGTATCTCCACTATCTTTGAATTAAATAGTATGCATTATGAAAAAAATAAGGGCGTTTTGGTCCACTTTATGTATAATAATTATGCAACACTACGCTGATGATTGAAATTCTAAACCATTTTCATACATGAGCCAAACCGCTAATTCAGAGCCATAATCACTAAAGAATATGACCAAACTTACAAGGGTTAACCGTCACCATGGGACTGTATAATATCTGTTAATTACGTCATCTTTCTGTTGTTGAAATTGCAGGTTTAAATCAAAATAGGGTTGAAATAACCTGACCTATACGTGTTAACCAAAGGCATTCCATCCTGATTAACTACAAATCATTATTTTCGTCATGTTCCTGACGTGCAATTTCCTTTTCACGCCTTTGATACTTTACCTTTAAATCATTCGTTTGTCGTCTGACTTGGCTGCTAAATGTAACTCTCTGCATACGAACGTAAAGGTCGTAGTTTTAGGTTTATTTTTTCTATCTTCCATAACCACACATCAAGCGATATTAGGCAAACATGTCATAAGGCTAGGCCTCGAATAATCATGACTCAAAAAGGGAATTATCTTCCATTGTGACAATGCTCCTTCCCACACCTCAAACTGCCCGTACCCGGGTGCCCGTACTACTCTCGAAGAATTAAGGTTCACACAACTTCCTTATGCCCCATATTCACCAGATGAAGCACCGTTCGGCTTCATTACATTTGGGATATTGAAGCATTCATATGAGCGGTCATCAGTTTGATTCCGATAAGGGACTGATTTCAATGGCTCGAGCCAATCTTCAAGAGAGAACATATGAATCCAGAGGACCAGAGGAGTGGAAGGTGTCTTTATGGACTAGGTTTGTCAACAACACATAAAATGTGTCCAGGCTAATGTAAACTATAATAAATGATTTGATCATATCTACACTGAAGAATGCCTCTGGATAAGTGACTCCAAAAAGACTGACTTGCTGATTTGCTGACCGCGGACCACTTTTTCTTTTTTTAAAATTACAATCAAATATGTTGTAGAAGTGATATGTATATGAAATGCTTACTGTCAATTCGGAATATACAATATATATTTGCTGAAAATTTCAATTAAATTGGCTGAGAAATATTGAAATGGCAGACCAATTCCCAGAACTTAATGATCACCCTGTACGTGTAAAGCTGGTCATTGGAAAACAAACACAAGCATCCCAAAACTCTGTAAAGCACGATCCCCTTGCATCAAAAAACCATTATTACAAATTCAAAACCACCTTAACCAATGGACATTTTATTCATACATGTACTTACACTCTCTTCCATAAGTTTGGCATGGTTTGGTATGAGTGCAGAGACAAATAAAATATGTCTCTGATGAGTGGGACTCCTTGTATAGAATTATAGATTCTATTTCTGTTTATTGCTGTTTATCAATACCTTAGTCACATTTGCTTTATCGCTAAGTAGGCGGCACACGACATCTTCCACTGCTTTAGGAAATGTAAGATACGAACGGTCAGTTTCAATACGCGGTAAGTTTGTTACGCGGAATATGGCATACATTCATGGTTGCGCGGTATTTGTGATACGAGTGAATATGCCATACTCACCTGCGGTATATGGCATATTCCGCAGGTAAGTATGCCATATTCCGCAGTGAATATGCGATACATTGATTTCAGTGAATACCCGATACTCACCTGCGGAATATGTCATACTCACTTGCGGAATATGCCATATACCGCAGGTGAATATGACATATACCGCAGCTGAAAACGTAATACAAAAAGCCTTGATTTGATTGGTTGCGAGAATTGACTCTAAATGTAAAACTACGCTGGATTACCAATAAAGTTAGTGCCTCGAGTACTAATATATGAATTCTGGCCTGATTAATTGAGTATGTTTTTTACGTGAGATTGGTGAGTGATACTTCTGCATAAGTTGATAGATTCGATACACTGTACTGTTGATTCAGTAATAATTATAATAATTTATAAACTTTTACATGTTCATTCAATCGATGCAATTGACAATTGCGTACTTCCGTATCACGTTCTCATTGGATAGTGTGTATGCCATATACCGCAGGTGAATCTGTCATACACCGCAAATAAATATGCCATATTCGTTGCGGAATATGACATACATTTGCATCTTGTTTACCGCGTAACAAATGTTAAAGTTGACATCTTAGCTCTCGATTCTAAACTCTCATAACGTTACCGCATCACTGCATATCAGTTATCTTATTATCTGTAAAACCAAAATCCCATTTACCTTCGAGATATCGTATAACTGTGGCGCCCACGCATGAAATATGAACAAATGATCATACTCCAGAGTTTCCATGTCATATAAGTCGGATTGAGTTCAAATCAGGGTGGTCAAAAAAAGTGAACCCTTGCAACCGGCTATATTTCCCTTATTACCAGCAGGAATCCTTTCATATTTTCACATGTTGTAGAGGAAGGTCTAAAATTTTTGTTTGTACTACTACAGTATACAATTTTCTTAGTATTGAAATTTGCAGAAATTATAAGCCCTAACGAAACATCACTGAAAATGGGTAAAATGTGAACTTCAATATCTGCGATTCTTCAATCCTTCAACAATCTTCCCATGGAAATCTTTTAAGTCGGAGTCTGGGAAACCTAATGTTTTCTGACTTTGTTTTGTTTTGAATCCCACACAATATGATGTAAAAATTAGCATCCTACCTCTGTTAGTTGCAAAGTTAATGTGATCAAAAGAAATGTTTATGTTTCCAAAGACGAGAACATCTTCCAGTGAAATCGCAACATAACCCTATATGGTCTTAAAATGTCAATATCTTCATTAATCATGGACCAATTCTAATGAAATATGGCTCAAAACACTGAATATTAGATTTCCTTTTGATTTTTGTAAGATTTTATATGAAGGGCTTCTCAGACTTTGGGTGACAAGGGGTAACTTTGCCCCCCTCTACCCGTTTGTGTAGGTAACATGCCTTTAAACTGTTGAATGATTAAAACAGCTTCAAAATGGTCAATAAATTAAAAGTGTGAAATGTGTTTTCTGTTCAAATAGTGTCCCATTTGTCATATGGTAGGGTTTAGACTTATAATCTCTCACTGAAAGCTTTTTTAAGATCATCTCATGTGTATCAACAATTTCCGTCAACCACATTGGTAAAATTTTGCACAAAATCTAATTTGAGGCATGTTTGTTTAAGTCTTGTAATTTCTTCGAAATTCAAGACTGAGAATAAATTATGGTGTCAACAAAATGTTAGACCTTTCTCTACAAGAAGTGATAATATGAGCAAATTCATGCATGTATTAAGGAAAGTATAGCCTGTTGCAGGGGTTCACTTTTTTTGGACCACCCTGTAAAAGTAGTCTAATTCGATGAAAACTGAAAATATAACGGCCGTTACCTTCGCTTGATACTGACCAGTGTTAAAGTGACCACAAAGGATCAGCTATGTTTTTACGGTCACCTAGCCAGGGCGTATTCATATATTTTAAAGCCCGTCGGGGTCACCGGTGAATTACGGTGGAGTAAAGTTTTTCATTTCATAGTTTGTCGCAACAATGGCCTTGAGGACTGTCGATAGATGGAAAAGTCAAAACTTCAACAAACATCAAAACAAGAAAGCCTAATTTTCTATTTGGCCATTTTCATTCAAATGGTTTTTGTGTAGTTTACCCCCTCTAGACGTTTCCCCTTGTATATTTTTGCTTATATAACACTTTTGGGGACGATGAACTTATTCAATTATAGGAGTGAACGCAAGAACGCAATGCCTTATTGATCCGAGCCAAATCCAAGAGCAGATGGCATATATACATGTATAAAAATAATCACACTGGGCCTTTTAACTTGATTTGCTTCCATCTTGCATTTGAAGGGACTTGTCTAATTATCTATAGCTGGTTAACTGCAATACGAACGTTATTATCCATCCATACAATAAACATCCGCCCTCAGCCCCCGCTTAACCTGCTCTTGAAATCATTGAGTTATAATTGATAGAGCGACTAACCCTTGAAGAGCGTCTCGTTGACATATAATTTGAAATAGAACACTGTCACTTCGTTTTGATAAAATGCAATCCTTTCGTCCTCCACATTTGCCTCTATATCTCAAAATATTTAAGGCGAATAACTCTGATATCGTATATATATTAACAATGGGGTAGGAGCATCATAAAACACGAATCAATTGATATTTTAGGTGAAATAAATATATGTGTTCCTGTGTTTGAAAATAGGTGAATGGCGTAAATTCGCCCTATTTTAATGGATTTTGAAAACCTTTCGTCCTCCACTTTTCCACATACAACAGAAAACACATACGTTTGCGGATAAAATCAACTACTAGTATCACAGGCTGGTATCGAAATATTTGTCCGCTGTGACGGAGCATGCTATTTTTCATAAAAACACTAAGAATACTTCACGATTTATTTTTTAACTCATATGTTTCGTTATACCATACAACATTACTTACTCCATGCAATGAATATATCATTTGCGGGTAACTTTCACTTCTGTTTGAAGTCCAATTACGCTGGGAAGAAAAGCTGTTG